CGGAAAACATAAATTATTTCAAAGAAAAATGTTTTAAAAGGGGTTTAGAAATCCTGGGGTACTCGGCGGAGCTCACTTCCGGTGGACGTGTCTTTTGCCGATCTTGACTATGGCCAGGAAGGTTCTTCCACTGTGGCGAAGCACTGCTGAAAGTACTCTGGCACTTTAATAATTGGATTTCTAACTTATAAAAACTAATTAAGAGCAAAAGCTCCAAAAGAAATTCCAGATATTCCATTTTAGGCACTCGTTGGATGCGCTGGCTCACGCAGCAACAGGAACGCCGCGGGCGCTGGTGACTTACTTGTCCACGGAGAACGAGAGTGCAGAACACAACAGACATTTCTGTTTATTTTCGCTAAATATATCATATTTAGATTCTCTTTATCATCCTTTCACTGTAGTTAAACTTGTCGGGCTGCGATATGCGTGCATTTGACCATCAAATGTGACAACAACATTTCCAGAACCGGAGTCCAACCGATTCGCACTCCGCCAGATTTTGTGGATTGTTGTGCTGGTCTAAACAATGGGATTTTTGCTGCATTTTGGAATAAATTTCGTTATGTTCATCATCAAATTAATGCACAAGAGTGAATTGTCCACCGCGGGGCTTGCTTAGCATTAGCTTAGCAGATCATGTGGGACTGCACGATGCATACTTAAGACACTCACAAATGAAGCTCATTTTCATTTTTTTTGCGTTTTGTCGATCGTTTCAGGGATTAGAAAACATGTTTTCTAATTTTACTTTCAGTTTAGATGTGATTGAGCGTCTCAAATTTCAGAAAGTATCTCCAAGACTGGTCTTGGAGCCGATGTGCTCAAGCGGGAGGCACCTTGGAAATTTTTTCTCTGAGATATCTTTCAGAGTTCTATAAAGAAGTGAAACTTCTCGCTTTTCAGCATTTGTTTCGTTAAATTTACGTTTTATATACAGTTCCTGAACAATAGTTCAACGTAGAGTAGGTTTGCAACGCGTTGTAGACACGCCGTTCTTTCCACTACCAGTTCTTTGCACTCTGTCCGGGGGCTGTGCGCCTCGAAGGAAATAACTTCTTTTTTTGTTTTTTAGACTATTTTTAACATTATTTGACTTATTTCTTGCCCTGCGTCTACCTAGCTAGCTCAAAACAAGTCCGGCTTGGCTCATTTTTGCTCAATAGCGCTGCCGTGCTGCTCTGCGGAGCCACAAGGCGCACCGAAACGCACACGGATCCTTCATTGGACAAAGATATTATGCCTCAATAATGAAAGAAATATCATTTTAAACCCACAAATTGCACTTTAAAATGGTAAAATAATGCATTCCTGAGGTGTGATCCCCTCAATGCAAACTAAAGAGTAGTAGATGGACTCGTAAGGAAGAGGGAATTCGGGCTCTTGTAAGATTTTGTCCACGAAGAAGGTTTAAATTCCTGTTTTTTTTAAACTAATGTGGTTAGATATTGGTCATGGGTCTCAGTAAAGAAGCTTTTCAATAAGAAAGGCATTATATCATAAGAAAGACGTTATGCGAAGCCCAAAAGTTAATGGCTCTGGCTTAGAGGCAACAACTTCAGCAGCTCCAACAGCTGCAGCTGCGCTAAAGGTAGCTTTCTTATCTTTGAATAATTATTTGCTGAATTCAAATGCATTATTGACTCGAGCCAGACCACAAGGGGCTCTAGACGTCTCATATGAAAAGTTTGACGGCTGTACCTGCTGTTGCTGCTGCTGCTGCTGCTGCTGCTGCTGCTGCTGCTGGTGCTGCTGCTGCTGCTACTACTGCTGCTGCGGTCGCTGTGCTTTTTGCTGCTAGTTCTTGTTTCGCCGGCCCCTGGATGCCCACAGACACTGTTGCTGCTGCTGCGCCCGCTACCGCTGCTGCTGCTGCTGCGGCCACTACCGCTGCTGCTGCTTTCGCTGCAGCTCCTACTGTTGCTGCTGCTGCTGCTGCTGCAGCGAGATATCAAAAAGAAAGTTGATTCGAATTGTCGAAATTCAACAGCTGTAACTAACCAGCTGCAGCTGCAAATGCTGGCGAAGTGTAGTCTTTGGTTTTTGGCGTTTTTCCTCTTAGTCACTGAAGTTGAAAATTGCTGAATTCCTTTTGTGCATTTCTTTTTTTGTATTTTCTGTTTGTAAAAATGCCAAAAAAATGAAAAGCATTTTCCTTTGCTTCTCCTGGTGGGTCAGAACTCTTCATTTCATAAATCATTCTCGAGTCTGACTTTTCGGATTACTTCTGATAAACTCATCAAAGTTGTGGAAGAATATGACAACTTGAATCTCGGGAAAATTGTTTAAAGCCAGGAGTGAATCTGCTTCTTTGTTTATTCATATTTCATAAACTCCGCACTTGCAGTTTTAGTCTTTTCAAATGAAGTCAGTCAATTCTGTTTCTGAACTTTTCTAGAAATGTTTGAACTTTCTTGCGGTGCAAAAGCAGTCTACAAAAGGCTTTCAGGCAACAAGTAAAGTTCAATTTGAGTATTTTTTGGCAAAGTCTGGGGAGGAAATTTCCTTTTTGGTCTTCTAATTCTGCACTGAAGTGCTCGCTTTCTTATTAACATTCTTCACCCATATTTGCAATTCAGCCATTTTTTACTTCATCTAATTCTTTTCAATCATTTCTTTTCTGCAAGACCTTTTGCTGCACTCTTTTCTGCTGCACATTAATTGCAATATTGCACTGATGCAAATCATCTTCAAACAAAACAGGCAAAGGCACTTTTATGAATTTTCAAATAGATAAAAGATCAGCCTAAACACAACTTTTGTCATTTGTGATGAAAATAATCGAAGAATGCATTTTTTTGGATTCAGAGATGTTTACGGATGTGCAAAAGACAGAAAGAAACTGCTGCAGCGCGGCGAAGCAAACTGTGTAATGGGCAAACTGGCCAGCCCGGTGATAGCTCGCTAGCTAGCTAACTAGCCAACTAGCCAACAAACTAACTAGCTAGCTGGCTACCCAGCTAGCTGGCCAACTAGCTAACTAGCTAGCCAGAAAACTACGCAGTTGGCTAGCTAGCTAGCTAGCTAGCTAGCTAAGCAACAGAAAATGCTAGATTGAAAGAGAGCGCGTCGACCCGGGATCGAACCAGGGACCTTTAGATCTTCAGTCTAACGCTCTCCCAACTGAGCTATCGACGCCACAAAAGATTACATTTTGAATTTCAGACTTGTTCTTGAGAAACTCTTTTTCGCGGTTTTGGCTTTTGGACTTGTCCTTGATTAAATCCTTTGCATAATCCGACAAAAACTCAGTCAAAATCCCATTATAAAGGACCAAATGGCTGCAGTTTTTCCCTTTTAGAAAAACTTTCGAAGATTTGCATGCGCCCACGAACTTGCAAGAAATCTGTACAACTGGAGTTCAACTTCTGCTGCCTTTAGCCTCATAACCCAGGCTCTCGGGATTGACTTATTTGCTGCTGATCTTTTTGAATTTGCGAAAACAAAATAAACTTTTTTCCTTTTTTTTTTTCCAAGAAGACTCATTTCTAGAAGTGAAGCTCTAAGGCGGAGAGCTGGGACTTAAGATGGCGAGCAGAAGAAGAAATGCAAAAGAGGCGCAGAGAAGAAAGCAGCAAATAACTAAAAAGGGCTCTTAGGAGTATTTCAAAAAAGCTTTTTGCTTTCAAAAAAATGTTACAGAAGAAAAACTCTACATGCTTGCCAAGCTGTCCTGGCCCTAGCCGGCGACGCTCCTAGCATTGTCTTGAGTTCCTAGGAAGCAGCAGCAGCAGCAGCAGCAGCAGCAGCAGCAGCAGCAGCTGTTGCAGCAGCAAAAGAAGCGGGAAAGCGCGTCGACCCGGGATCGAACCAGGGACCTTTAGATCTTCAGTCTAACGCTCTCCCAACTGAGCTATCAACGCGGAGGTCGAGCAACCGTCTATACCGCAGCAGCAGCAGCAACAGCAGCAGCAGCAGCAGCAGCAGCAGCAGCAGCAGCAAATAACAACTCGACGAAGCGCGTCGACCCGGGATCGAACCAGGGACCTTTAGATCTTCAGTCTAACGCTCTCCCAACTGAGCTATCAACGCGTAGGTCCAGTGGACCGCTATTTCGGAGCAGCAGCAGCAGCAGCAGCAGCAGCAGCTGCTGCTGCTGCTGCTGCTGCAGCCACAGAGCAGCCGCAAAAGAGGTGAGCGAACGCGTCGACCCGGGATCGAACCAGGGACCTTTAGATCTTCAGTCTAACGCTCTCCCAACTGAGCTATCGACGCGAAAGCTGCAGCAACATCTATTTCTACGCTGCAGCTTTCTGCTGCTGCAGTTCTTCGAACTTTTAATGAATATTTTATTTAAATTAATTAATTTTCGCGTTTTGAATTTGCTGCTGCTGCTGCCGGCGCAGCTGGGCGGCTGGGGTCGGCCTGGGGCGCGTGGGCGCGGCCGGGGTGTGCAGGGCGCCGGGGGGGAGCCGGCAGGGCTTGAAATGCAGCAAAAATGGATTTAAATGTTTATTTTAAAAGTAGAAAAGTTCAAAAGAATTAAAAGAAAGGCAAAGGGAGCCGTTTAGCTGTGCACGGCTAGCCGGAGCCTCGTGAGGCGCGTGTGCCTCGGGCCCCGCGTGGCAGCAGCGGCGTGGCAGGGGTGGCTCTTCCGGGGCTTTCTGAACGGGATTTTTCGCAATTATTTCATTTAATTCTCATAATTTCAGATTTTTGCTTTTATTTTGTAGCAAAGGTCGTTTGTTTGAGGGCCTGGCGCCTGCCTCTTTTGCCCGGGCCTGCTGCGCCGCCGCCGACGCAGCGCCTCGCCGCTGCCGCCTGCAGCAAGCCGCCGCAGCAGCAGCAGCAGCAGCAGCAGCAGATCTGCCCCTCGAGCGGCGGGTCCTCTGCAGCGGCGCTGCGAATCTGCTGCTGGCGCAGCAGCAGCAGCCGATCTGCTGCAGCAGAAGTGGAGCCGCTGCAGCTTGCTGCGGGAGCGCCTTCGCAGCCCCTTAGCAGGCCCGCAGCAGGGCCTCAGCAGTGCCGCAGCAGCAGCGCAGCAGGGCCGCAGCAGCAGAATGGCGCTGCGGGGGGCCCCGCTGCTGCTGCTGCTGTGCTGCTGCTGCGCAGCAGCAGCAGCGCAGCACGACGAAGAAGACCCTCTGGGGGACCTTCCCGGGGAGCTGCGGGAGGAGGGCCTGGAGGTGAGTTCGCCCGAGCTGCTGGAGGCCCTAGCAGCAGCTGAGCAGCTGGAGGCGGAGAAGGAAGCAGCAGCAGCAGCAGCAGCAGCAGCAGCAGCAGCAGGCGACGCCTTTGGGGAGGCTTCTTGGGAAGGGGGCCCCCCGGGGGCCCCCCTGGAGGAGGCCTCGTGGAAGGCGGTCGAGCGGGGCTCTGGGGAGGAGGGGGCCCCCCCGCGTTCTCCCGTGGGGGCCCCCCCATCCCCGGGCGCCCGGGGCCCCCCCCCGGGGGCCCCCCCGGCC